TTTTTTTATTAATTTTTTTTTTCCCCGGAATTTTCAGAAAAGTCCACTTTCATCTCTGGTAAACAGTAGCAGTTTGGCGGTATAGAAAACGTGCCGCTAATTAGAGTAAATGGTGCCACAACAAGAGGAGGCAAAAGAAGGGGTCAGTATTCTACAAGCTGCCAAAAGAAGAACCAAGGCATAGCCGATGGATAGCAAAAATAAACTAGCGATCACACTGTTGAGTGACAGGTTTACTCTACAAATCATGGCAAAAGGTGGCTGAATCAGCAGATGCTAACATACCCAAAATAATAGCCCAAGCTAGCTTCCCACCACACACAAAATTTGCGGGAAATAGTCTGTTTAATTTATGCCATAAACAATTCTTGTTTCTGTTGCTATGGTTTCATAGATAATACAGTGTTAAATTTGATAATTGATCAATACTTCCTCTGGGATAAATGATTGCGGTGGCTGCCGCCGAATCTGCAGATTCTAGCATAGCTGATAACAGTGCAAGGGCAGCGTGAAGCCTAGATAGTAATATTGACCACACATTAAGGGGAAAAACAAATCCAGATGTCACAACTTGTAATTTTAGATCCGGCCACGGCATTCTCCCTACCTCTCATCGCGATAGGAAAAAAAAACCCACTCCTGCCGGCAGCTTCATAGATCAGTAATATATACTATCCTGTCCATGTTTGTCATGTCCTTTTCATCAAACTGAGATGTGAATCGAATCGGACGAAATGTAGACAGATAAACACTTTTAGCGCTGCTCTCTATTGTTAGTCTTTGGCATGCTGCCGCAACTGTACTGACATTGCGGCTGCGTAAACACATACAAAGGGGACTAGTCGGGTGACATCCAGAGTTCTATTGCACACCACCCACAAATCAGTCAATGAACAGTTGTTACCACTTGGCACACTCGTGCCGCTTTTCCATTAGTCCCAAACAATCCCACACAACACTCCGAGCTCACTAACATTCATTTGACTGCCCGTGCAAGTTAACGGGTCGAGGTCTTTACTCTGCGGCGTCTGAAGCCGGTTGGCGGTTGCCCAAAACCGCCATCTCCGAGGCGGGAGCCACAACCGTTGGGTTGGGGAAACGGTGACGTTCCGCTCTGGCTGCAGGAGACCTCTCATTCAAGAGAATGGGACCCACTGTGTGAAAGTAGCCATTTCTGCCCAACTGCAAAATCAAAGTGTTTCACTTGTTGCTGCTCTGAGAAACTGGCTGTGTTTAATCTTCAGGGGCGGTACGGGGTGGTTCCTCATTTTGCGACGTAGAAAAGTGAGGATGTAATTGTTTTCTTGGATTGGGCAGAGCGGTCGCTGAGAGGTGGAATGAGCAGGAATGCTCAGAGATGGGGGAATCGAGGAAACCACCACCATGGCAGTGTTTTTTGGTGAGGAATTCCTATTTTAACATGGCGAAAAGCTGTATAAAGTTGATTTAGCGTGATGTGTCCTCTCTAAAGGGAGAGATTGCAGTTTTAAAATTGCAACCTCATTTCACTTGACTAAGATGTCCCCTCATCGAGTCTCTGACACAAGCCACAGGGTCCTCACTTTTGTGCACAAGAGGAGCACTGTCTTGTGTGCTCCAAACAAGCCTACATTAGCCCTGTCTGTTACTATGCTAGCATTACTTATTCAAAATAGCGTTACGATAACACTAATCATTATCGGTTTCAGGTTTTGTTTTTTTTTTTTGTAGATTGTGGTCCAGCTTTTCATTATGAGCCTGAGTATCGGGACAGATTTGTCTCAAAATGATTCACTCAACTATATTTGTTTTCTTTCACGTGTTTTTGAGATCCACAAATATGTCAGTGATTTTCAAGTTTTTGAGATCCGCAAATGCTGTATATGCGCGATATTGACATGTTTTTTGAAATCCACAAATATACGTGCGATTTTCATGTTTTTCAAGTCCACAAATATTTGCACAATTTACATGTTAATGTTGTATGAGCATTTATCATGACTTGTCCTTTGTAAATATTCAGTTCCACTTGTGAATTGTTGAATGTGCGTTTGTGGATCAGCGTGCATGCTCGTTGATTTTGAAACAAACGTTTTACACAGTTTTAAGGTACTCAGACACACACACACACACACACACACAACAGTTGAAAATATTTGCATGTGTTGAAACGCTATTCCTTCTCCATCCGCCAGAAGGCAGTGTTGCTGTTTCCAGTGAGCCGGAATGAGGCATCGCCTGTATCGCTTCTATAAATTGGAAATTGAAACACGGAAAACATGCTTTTATCTGGGTCCGTGTACCGCCGTTCATGCTAATTTTAATTCTGAAAAGCAACTAAAAATGAACATTTGGGGTGATATTTTCAATTTTCGTTTTTAAAACAAAAATAGGACAACTAATGACCTTAGAAAAAAATCAAAATATGGAGTTTTCTGGAAAGGGCTTGAATTTCTGGATTTCCATTTTCAATGTTGAATTTTTATGGTTTTCAGTCTACGCATTGCAGGAAGCACAGGATAGTGCCATCGACTGTCGTCAGCGGGGTCTAAGTGAAGTAAACAATTCATTGTGTACAATGGACTCGAGTTACATCCTTCTTAAAGGAAACAAAAGGCTGGCGCTCAAGGGATGCAATGTGATTGTGGATAAAATTGCCAGAATCTTCCAGGTATGTACCACTTTATTTTCTCCATTGGCTTGGAGTACATGCTAAAATGAGCAGTTGCTGTTGTATTCCAAAGGGTGTGGGTGTGTGTGTGTGTGTCTGTGTGTGGGGGTGGGGCGGGGGGGGGGGGATTGAACCCACATGTGCTCGTTTACGTGATCTCTTGTGTTACCCAATCAGCTCCCTCTTCCAATTAGTACCTTGCAGAAAAACTAGTTGCTAATTGGGTCACGCTCTGTTGCACTGATTGGTTAGACAAGCTGTGAACAAAAAACAAAATAAACGGCCACAAAATATCGTGAGCCGTTTAAAAGCTAAACCCAAGGCTGTATATCCAAATCACCTCATTCATTCATTTTTATTTTTATTTCAGGCAATAATAAAAGCAACAGCCAGTGTCATATTCCAACAAATTCTAATCACAAATGAGGAAATTGGTAACAAAAAGTTAATATCCCTGAAAGGGCATCGGAAGAACATTTATTTAATCAACTATCATTAAAAAATAATAATAACAATAAAAATACAAATACCATGATGGCGTATTCCATTGCAACAACAGTAATTTACGATAATGGGAAGGTAAACAACACCAGCAATGGTCAAGACAGCACATACCCACAATTGTACAGAACCAAAAAGCACATGTTTACATTTGACAGATAGCACTGATATAATCTTTACTGATATATACTGTGACCAGATCATTTGTTTAAATATCATTTTAAACCTGTGAATATTGTTGCATTGTTTCTCTTTGCATGCACAGATTAGTCAAAAAGTTTCACACCACACACAGACACCCAAAAACTTTTCCGGGTAGTTCAGATTTTAGGTAGAGTGAACTCTTCATGTCCGCTCAATGTATGAACGTGCTCTCTAATTGTAAAAAAACAAAACAAAAAAAACATTTGTAAGTTGGTCGGTAATATTTTCTTGAATTATTTATACAAGACTATAAGGTATAGTCACAAGATGCTGAAATTGTAACAATTTAGAAGAAGCAAATTATGAATGTGCTCCAGCAACAAGTTATTTTCCAACAGAATGTGTGGCTCCTGAGTACATAAGGAATGTGATGTCATGTGTCACTTCCCTTTTCAAATGCTGAAGGCTCAGGTACCGTCTACATCGACAACACTTCGTCCTCCCCTTCGTGCCATCAGCCGGTCTGGTACTGCTGTGAAGACTGCTGGTTCTGATGGGATTGACCACATGCAACACAGCATCTCGATAGGATTCAAACCCAGACTTTGACTGGCCAGTCCAAAAACTTAATTTGTTTGTTTGTTTGTTTTTTTAGGCATTCCGAGGTGGACTTGCTGGTGTGTTTTGGATTTTTGTCCTGCTGCATGATCCAAGAGCGCATGAGTTTGAGGACGCAAATTGATTGTCGGACATTCTCCTTCAGGATTTTCTGGGAGACAGCAGAATTCATTGTTCATTCAAAGTATCCCCAGAGACTGGCTTTGTTTAATTTACAGCACTTTGTATGTATACAATACAGTAGGCCAGGTCTACAGTATATGCTCAAGTTTAGGCTATTCAGTGCTTCATAATGTTAAAAGTGTTAAAATGTCAATCTTTGTCTAATTTACAGCACTTTTTAATATCCTATAGGCTGTTTCACTCTATAAAATAACAATATTCATTGCTAATAAAGCACTTCAACTTTAAATACGACTAAATGCTTTCTTGACTTCTCCTTCCTGACTGACCAGCAAGTGACCCCAGGGCCCAGAGGCTAATATGTCATGTTAAATAATGTCAATTAAATCAAAACATTTTGTTTTTTCATATTTATATGAGATTCTATGCATTTCAGGATTTGGGGGAGCCAAACACTCACGTTTCTTTTGCCAACGCGAATTTTGAGGAGTGTCACTTATTTAATGGTGTATGAAAACATTCTGCGCCAGTCAGGCACTATTTAACAGTTTTATGAGAAACTAAGGCTCGGTGCACCTTGCTGGTCTTAATCCTCAATTTAGATTTTATGGTAAAATCCGATTTTTTTTGTTGTTGTTGTTGTTGTAAGCCTTCACATTACATATTAAATGCGACTTCAGTCTGTCTGGTGTGTGAACCAAATGCGTCACGAAAGTGACCCGCATGCGTAGAAGATACGACGTGGCTCCACGTAGTGTCTACGTAAGAAAATGTGGTCACCGCCTACATTTTAGAGGCTTATCTTTTTAACATCTCATCTACAGAGGAGCAATAGGAGAGGAGGTATAAATATTTTGGGGAAATGAGGCCAGGCTTTTTGGTTCCCGGAGACATCTACGCATAATAAATGAACCCTCTTTGTGGCTTAATTGCTACTATCACAATAAGTGTCGCCTTTATGCTTTATGTTTCAAATGGGATTAAATTAAAGTCAAATATAAAGTCAATACTGTTACTCAAAACAACTGTGTAGATTCATGGACAATCGCACCCCCGAAGCACTGTCCCCCCCCCCCCCCCACACACACACACATTTTGGAATTTGGATGTTGTACAGGCCGGGTATATATAACATGGCAGTTCGGACGGAGGTTGCATTGCAAAAAGCGGATACATATCCGATCTAGGACCACATTATGAAAGAGACCCAAGTTGGATTTGAAAAAAAATCTGAATTGAGCCGTTCAGACTGTAATTGATAAAATCAGATATAGATCGCATATGGGCTAAAAAAAATCTGATCTGGGTTGCATTTGTCTGCAGTATGAACCTAGCCTAAGAATCAGGGTTGGGAGGGTTACATATAAAATGTATTCCGATACAGTTACTAGCTACCTGGTAAAAAAACAAAAAAACAAAACAACTTAGTAATGTAGTCTAAGTGTCATACTATTGAAGTAATGTAATTTGAATACCTTTAATTACTGTACTTTTGAATTACTCCAATACCAATTATAGTCATGAAGACAAAATCTCTTGTCGCAGCCTAGTCCTCGCAATGTTACTCTGTCGGTGACGGCCAGGTGTGGGCCCGATGCTCAAGCACCATCCATTTTCAAGGCTCGTTGATTCACGAGGTAAGTTTTTACAAACTCCTTGGCGGGTTCGGACTCCCATGGCCAATGTCCTGCTGTCTATCTTGACCAATGCCCTTACAGGGGTCCGATGAGCTTCAGCATCGGGCGCCTTAACCTGGCGTTCGGTCCATCCTGGAGCGCTAGTTCTGCTTACCAAAAGAGGCCCACTGGGCGGCTCGCATTCCACGCCAGTGAACCGGACTTTGGGGTGCACGACCTATTAGATCACGGATGTCATACACATTTTTGTCAAGGGCCACATTTTAGTGACCGTTTCCCTTGAAGGGCCATTATGACTGAAACCATATAAAGAAGTCAAGAATAACAGGTTTAATCAACTATTGTTCAAGTTACTGTAATGATGGGTTTGGTAGCAAGAAAATGCTCGCATACAGATGAGAAATTTTAATTTTGGTCGGGATTTTAGCAAGCACCATGGAAGTTGACATGTTTGAATTGCTTTTGCAAGCCACATAGAATGATATGGGTCAGATGTGGCCCTCCCGGCCTTGAGTTTGACACCTATGTACTAGATGGTTCGATTAGTCATTGACCCCTAGACCGAGGTCGGACGACTTATTTGCACGTCAGGATCACTGCGGGCCTCCGCCAGAGTTTCCTCTGACTTCGCCCTGCCCAGTCAAAGTTCACCATCTTTCGGGTCCTATCGAGTGCGATGTCCTTCCACCACCCAGACACAGCACTGCGGTCAAGCCAGCCTCCACTCGCAAACGCAGTACAGCTGCGGGCCAGTGGTGCACCCGGAAAGACATGCCCCGCGGGGGCGGGATCCCACGGCGGCCAGCGTGGCGCCGGCCCTCACCTTCATTGCGCCGGGTCAGGTTTCAGCGAGGCTTTCCGACTCGAGCGCGCATTCGACTCCTTGGTCCGTGCGGAGCCTGCCGCCGCGCCTGCCGTGTTGAATTTATGTACGCGTAAACCCATTACTCCACAAAGCGGCGCTCTTTGTTCAGTTTATTTTATTTTTTGCACTGCTCGCGCTTGCAAGTCGGCCTTTTGCGTTAAAGTATTGCTTTCAATTAGTGGGACAAAATACTGCGAGGTCCTCGGTTTACGATTAATATGTACGTAAATCGGGTCATGTCGCGTACGCGATTTGAGACCATCAATCTAAAACAAATGGGCAAAAGGAGCACTGCGTCTTGGATGTAATTTACATCCCTATACTAATTACCATTCCGAGGAACAGTCTTTATGTGCATACTGTACCGTACAAGGGCAAAAAACAAAGTATTGCGTGTTGTAATGGTCAGTTATCACTGTAAGTATATAAAGACCACCTATTCCAGTGTAACATTGCAATAAAGCAGCGCGTGTTTTGTTCGTTTATACGGGTAAATAGAGCCGAAAAGGTGACGTTTTGCTTACAGCATGATAAAGGACTGGGAGTCAACTGTAAGAAAAACGTGTGGGCGGCCGCCAGCAAATGTACGCTTCAACTGAAGGAGGATGCTGCGTTCTCTGACAGTAGGAAAACCGCCCTCCCTATTTCAATCGCGCCTCTGCGTGCACTCGTGAAGAACCTCATGTCATTCACGTTAAAAAGCATATGTTGGAATTAAAGGGTTGGACAAATGGTCGAGTTGGGGCTCTGGGATTTGATGTGCAACGTGGGAGAAGTTGTGAAAACCGAGTGTCATTGAAGGCGCCGGGAGGCAGTCAGCTGTCCGTGAAGAGGAAAGGTGAGTTCAGTTGCAGTCGGATTTCGGCCGTGCGACATCGTCCCCAAGCCTCACAGCTCCCCTTTTAACCAAATTTCCTGCAGTTTTCACGCGGATACTCGTTTGGAGGAAAGATCTTTTATGGTCCTGGCCGAAGATTGCACGATGTCTCGCACCGACGAGGTTCACCGAGTGACGGAAAATGTCTACAAGGTAAGGTGCTGCTTCATGAATAAAGTTTGTGCGCTGCTTTTGTCAGTGAAACATTTGAGTTTGTTTGGACAATACGTCGCTTATACCCCCTCAAATCAATTTGGAATGCTGTCCTCGCACTTGGTTAAATGTTTGACGACGTGGCAATTGATTAATTGATCCTCTTTTTTTTCATCAACACAACCACGCACGCGTGCGTGCACGATCCATTTCAGAATGAAGGCCTTGATTCCCAATCCACTTAGCCTATTCCCCACCTGTCCACCAACAAAGTGGGGAGCTGAGCCCCACGCTGCACTGTGGGCTTCAGTTCAGCGCACCCCCCCCGCACATCTTTCGTGCTTAAATGGGAGACATTCCAGGAGTTCAAGTGAAGGTTGGGCCTCTTTCTGTCCGTCTCTGTTGCAACAAGTAAACATTTGCTCACGGCCATTTCAACGTGCAAACCTGTTCTGCATTCAACAAAAAGCATGTGAAGCTTATAGTGGAACCTGGAAAGAGAGTGGCAATACATACTATGTGAACTAGACACTTGTATGCTGCCTAGAATTGAACAGTATGATTTCCATAGTGGTGTCGAAGTGTTGTTTCTAATATTTGGGATGCTTAAATATGTGTCATGATTACGGACACAGTCAAATCAGAGGTAATTTTGCTGGTCGTGGTCTGCACTGCAACATTCTGATATTTCTGCTATCTTAGCATTGTCCAACATAGGAGTCCAACATTTCATGTTTGTAAATAATAGGCAAGAAAATACTTCCAGGTGGCAGAAATGTTTACACCTGAACTAAAACAAAAACTTGTATGGCTTTGCGCCGGCTGAAAAGTTTCGTTGAGTGGATGTGGTGCATAGTTCTACAAACAGTGATTCACTTTGAAATGGACGGACTGGGAACCAAACCTCCAGCATTGGGGTTTTTGGAAGACATTTTGTAACAGATGTTTGAGAATATTTGCTTGGGTTGTCTTTGAGTAATTTAGCCAACATATTGTCATAGCTAGCCTACTAGCTAATGTAAGCTCTATAGCATAGGTGTCAAACTTGGGTCCCCGAGGGCCGCTTTCCTACCCGTTTCCCATCTCTCCCTGCTGCAACACACCTGATCATCTGATCAGCAAGCTCTGAAGAAGCAAGATAATGATCCTGATCATTTGAATCAGGTGTGTTGCAGCACGGAACGATGGGAAAGCGGCCCTGAGGACCAGGGTTTGATAAAAGTATTCGATACATCTCAAAAGAGCACGTGTGTGTGTGCGCCCTTAATCCGAGCAACAGAACAGTCAGTCAATTAGCCACTCTGTTAATGAGCATGACGGAATATCCATCATGTCATTTGTTGAACTGTATTGCAGCTTGTGTTAAGTCTCCATTTTTGGCAAATTTACCGCACGTGACATCTTCTTTTCAGTTGACACTTTATCCAAACTACGGCTAAAATCTTCATGCGATTTACTCTGTTTTCTTACCTGCCGTGGCTGGCTAGGTTAAATGATTTGGAAGGTTTTGTTTACTGAGGGTGTCGTTGGAGTTATTGCCACCCACCGGTATGTTCATGTCACGGTGCAAAGGTCCATTAGAAGCAGCCCTTGGTGAAACCAGAATAAAAATATCAGAATGAAACAAATTATCAGTCCTAAGCAGTGGGCTAGCATGTAAATTCGGGCTGTCACTCTCTTTTTGTGTGTCAATGTTAAAAGTTAAAATACAATAAAATAACATTTACAAATCATTAAAACTAATAATTTTAAAGTGATATCATCTACTTGCAAGAACTAATGAAATATTATCTTCCATTTTTAGAACACAAACATGTACATGTTAAACATATTTCCTAACATACAAATAATATACAGATGCAAACTCGAGTTTTTGTTACTGTAGATTGGCCCTGATCTTCAGGCTCCTTAGTGCTAGATGGCGGCAGTGAAATTGGCAACAAACTCTGAAAGTGCAGGTGAACTCCCGCTTCAAGTTTATCCTTAAACTAAACATAAAAGTAAGGATTACACTAGCATTGATATTATATATTTTTCTTCTCCATGTTTCATCATTTTAAATCAACGTGTTTCATATCTTTGTATGTATTATTTTGCCCCCCGGTAGCCATTGTGTTCATGCCCGAAGGATCAGCACAATGTCCATTCAATTCGAGCATAAAATTGTGATGTGTAATTCTTCACCTTGTATTGAATTATTTTATTGCTGTGTGTGTGTGTTTTTTTTTTTTTATATAAAGTATTATACTTTAGAGTGCTATTTTATTTGTAAAACATGTTTCCATGTTGGGAGGTTGGAATGGATTAATGGCATTTTTATTCATTTCACTGGGGAATGTTGATTTGAGATCCAAGTGATTTAAGTCACCAAGCAAATTCAACTTGAAGTCAAGTTACCAATGTGATATTATTAATCATAATAATGATGGCTCCAGCCATATCTAATGGAATGTCCCATCACGACCGTTCCCAGGTACCTGAGCGTTATCTCGCAAGAGTAATATAAGCCATTATTAAAGTGGCTGAATGTACAATGTATGAATAAGTTTTGAGGAGGAGCTGAAGCCAAAGTAGATGAGTGAGCCTGCTGGCTGCCCTTCAGGGAGCAGACACGTTTGAGAAAAGAGGTCAGATGAGTCGAGAGTGATGGACCGGTGCCTCTTTTTAGAGGCGTCGGGGGAAGACGGGAGGCTATTTTTGTGCTCAGTTGATCGAACGACCCAAAGCTGAGAGGCTCCGTCTGTCCGAGGCCTTTATTCCAATTACAGCTTCCATATTATTGGAAGCGTCCAGAAGCTGAAAATTGGAGAACGGTTGCAGACGGTTTGTTGAAGGCCCGCCTTGCGAGGTGGAAGGCAGCGCCTGCCATATCCTTTGACAGCTGCAGAGACATGGGAGCTGATCTGACCCAGTGGCATCGACTGCGAAAGGCATGGCGTGGTCATGCTGTCAAGGCACTTTTTGTGTGCTGGAATATTTCACAGACTGAGACTTCACTAACCGCTCGTCTACGATGTCATTTTAGGCTTGTTGGTGAACACCATTAGGTCCATTTTAGACCGAAAGTATCTGGCTGAAATCTTTTGCTCCTACGAGACATGGGCATAAAAATCAGTTTTAGTGCAATTAACACTTTTTTTGTGCTCAGGCCAAAAGCGCTGTCAAAAATACAAATAGTGCTTTGGAGCCAGCGTGTGGCATCATGGTGCCATGGATTTATATTGAAGTGAGAGGGGGTGGGGGGGCTTGATCGAGGCCGGCCATAGCCCCATCTAATCGAAAAGTAGTCCTTTGGCGCAATCTTGTGGCGTATTGGTGCTGAGGAATTAAATTGAAGTGAGATAAGGAGCTTCGATGGCTCGTAGTCCTGTAAAATAAAATAGTGCTTAGATGCCACCTTGTGGTCAAAGAACTATGCTGAAGTGAGGTGAAGTGCTTCATGTAGACAGGACATAGCCCTTTCTAATAGAAAAGCATGCAATGCAATGCAATCTTTTGGGGCATGGGGTGGGGCGGTCATTTGCGTGTGGATTTTTGCTATTTGTAGGGCAACACTGTATTTGGAACACAGCATATGGGAACAACATTGGGCAACGAGCCACATGCTGCGTCACCGAGTCTAAGGTTAGCATCTGATCAGCTGATGTTTCGTGACGTCCACGCAGACCGTTGCCTTTTCATTGAATGTAAAATAAAATCTTGCATGTTTGTTTGGTGCTTTTGGCCAAGGTGATTAGATTAGAACCACGATGACAATAAGAGGTTTGGCCAAGCAACAGGCTTATTAACAATTGATAGCATCAACCAATAACGAGCCTTCATCAGGCTTTTTGTTGGGTGATGCGTTCAAGTGCTAGTACACAAAGAGTGTTTACGAAATGACTCAACCTGTCCTTCGTGTTATTCAACTCGTTTATATAAACAACCATTGTTCACCTTCAGGACAACGCTGTGTTTTTTTAGTTTTCGGACAAGTTAATCGCAGTTTTGGGTGGCCTTAACATACGTAATGTAAATAAGTGTGATTTTAAATCTCAGTCAAAAGAATTGTGATAATTTTTTCCCCTCATCAAACAAAAATTTTTAAAACAAAACTTTTACATTCATGCAAATGGTTTTACTGTGGTTGCCCAAACCCCAACCATATACACCACCAGCAGGTTGTTCAAAATACGCTTTGGTGTGGCCTTGCGTGTGTGCCTTTTCCACCAGCTGGCTTCGGGTTTGGCCAGGCGTCTGCAAGAAGTGCAAGCCTCTTAACGTGCCTGCGGATGAAGTCTGAGCGCTTGACCCGAGCAGATTAATCGGGGCCCAACCGGGAGGAGAAAGAACGACTGCGAGGCCACAATGCGGCTTCCGTTAGCTCCTCGAGTGAGCGTGCATCCGATTCTCGCGCAGCGCAGGTATTCAAACACACCTAGGCAGGTAAGACGCTATTAAGGTGTGGCCCATCAAGATCAGCCCTCGGGACAACATTCATTTTTCCCATGCAGCCGCTCCCATTGTCACCACGGCCTGGAACAGAAAAGACGATACCAGCGTCTTATGAAAGGAAAACCAATACATGTTGGTTAGCTAGGAATGACGCTAGGTTTTCGAAATGGCTCATTGAATCAAAGGTGTGAGTCAATTGTGCAAGCTGCAATCAATGTCAAAATCCAAAGTAAGATCACACTCATCTTAGACACTTAGCAAAGGTTGTGACTAGCTCTGTTGTGGCTAACAAAATTGAATTTCTGAAGTCAAACACGATATCAATGCATAGCGGCAGTGTCAACTGCCCAGCCGTTTTTTTCCTGGAAACTTTTGGTTGAATTCTGACTTTCATTTTATGAGGTGCCACGCTAGGGCTGGGCAATTTTGGGAAAATAATCAACACGATTTTGATTGATATTGAAGTCACAATTAATAATCACAATCATTCATTCATTCATTGATTTTTGTATTTTTTTTTCAAATATTTAAGTCTTAGCCTTTATGAACCTGTTGCTAAACAAAAC